TTGGGTCCTCCCACATAACAGAATGCCAGGCTCCAACCACGAAGTGTCCACACCTCTTCCCCCTCCCTACTCTTCATTGGCCTGGAATACCTTCCCAAGTGCTCTCGCCGATGGCTGTGACATTTTGAGTCAAACTGACCTGGGTCTCAGTCCCACCATTGCCTGTGACCTTTGAACAAGTCATCTGCTCTTTCTGAGCTTTAACCCAGCAGCTGGGGCCACCAGCCGCCTGCTCTGTCAGCTGAGACGAGGTGCGTCAGGCTTGGGGTCCTGGGTGGAGATTCTCTGCTGGTCCCACCTGCTCAGCCTTCTGATAGCTCGGCTGCCACTCAGAGATACGGTCTAAGAGACCCTAGGCTATAAACACAGAGGGCCAAGGTCTCCTATAAGCCCCATCCACAGCACTGAGCCAGCCTCCAAGTAGGAAGAAAGGAGGGGGCGGGGAAGAATCACGTGAGTCAGAAGGCAGATGGGGGAGGTCTCTAGGTTGGATAGTAGGCAGTGACAATAGGGAATGACTTGTATCTTAATTCTTTTGACCATTAGTCTCTAAGTACCTGTGCCTAGGAAGAAAGACTGTCTAGGTAACCCAGCTCCTTCTCAGGATGCCCCTGAAGAGTGTTCCATGGCACACCTGCTTCTCGAGGCACTTTTATGGGAACAAGACCCCTGCTATTCCAGGTCCTCTAGCATTGTCCCCCTGCTTTGCCCTCACAGTCCTGTTCACCCCCTTTCCTATTAACCCTTCCTCCATCTCCTCTATCTCCCCTCCCCCCTCCTTTCTTCCTCCCTCCTTCACTGAGAGCCTGGTAACGAGCTTCCAAACCAGACTAACAGGTTCCTGAAGCCTAGCCCAGCCTTCCCCCTAGGCAAGTAGGGACCTGGGTAGGAACCGCCAGCTGCTAGCTCCCAGAAAACCGGGAATGCTCCGCAGTCAGTCGCTGGCCTGCCTAAGCCAGTGGGACACCCCCCAAGAGCGAGACCACCTGCAAGACCCTGCCGTGGTCCATGTTCCTGCCAAGCCAGGATGTCCCCACTTCTGTGAGTTGACAAGCCTGAAGCCTTGTGCCAAGCCTGACACATTGACTCACCATGTGCAATTAATAACACATCACATCGATCCAATTATCTGGCTGAAGTGGGTGGAGTTTCATAAAAGGAAATGTAAAATTCAATGAAAAACATGGGCAACTTTTCTTTCCTTGACATATTCCATTACCAAAAGCTTTGACAAGACCCAACAACGAAAACCCCTGGAAAGCTGCACCCATGGCTTCTCTTATAACCCTTAGACAGTAATGTTAGGAGGTAGGAGAGGGAAGAGAAGGAAGAAGAATTCAAAGGAGGGAGGCTGGTTAGGTTAGAACTGGGTAGTGTGTATATTGTGTGTGTGTGTGTGTGTGTGTGTGTGTGTGCGCGCGTGCACAAAGTATCAAAAATGATAAATGTGACCCAGATAGCCTAGGTCCAATTCTAGCTCTTTTTCTTAGGTGTGAGACCCTGGGCAAGTTATTTAACCTCTTTGTGTCTCAGTTTCCTCCTCTATAGAATGGGTCAATGGGACACAGGTAAAGGAAGCCTGACCTACCTCCTAGCATTGTTACAGTGACTGAACTGTGTGTCTGTGAAGCACTTAGCAGAACGCCCAAGGGCAGGGGTGTTGCTATCATCAGTATCAGAATTAGAAGACTAACATTATCTTTCCTCTTCCTCCTCAGGACTGTGCCTAACCTTGTCTACTCACCCTGAGTTGAGGAGCAGCATAATTGTATGTACATGCACATGTGTGCACATGTGTGCACAATGACCAGGAAGGACCTGCAGGCGGTTGAATGGGAGCTTCCTGGAGAAATCACAGGTCTACTTTATGATTTATGATTCAGTCACACATGTGTGCTGAAAATCCCGGGGAATCTCTTACAGCTAATCTCAAGGTACCACCTTGTACCATTCTGGGAGCTCTTTGCCTCCCAGCTTGGAAGGGACACCTCCTTGGCTTCTCCAACCTCTTTCTACCCCCCAAAGTTAGCAGTGCTGTGCTTCCTAACAAGGTTTGTCTAATCCATACCTACCCCGACCACAGCTAGGAAAGCTTTTTAGTTGAAAGATCCCTTGTGACAACGTGGCACATGCCCCACCCCAAGGCTGATGGCCCCTGCAAAGTCCTTTTGGCCAAAATAAGAAAACATTTCTAGGCTCTAGGGATTATGACATGAACATCTGTCTGAGGACATTATTCATCTCCTAGACCCTGGTTTTATGTTTGGGGAAGTTGGATTGTGAAAGTGTTTGTGTAGGGCTATGGAGGCAGTCGGGCCAACAATCTTTACAGCCCAGAGAATCCTAGTAAAGAGTTCTAGAACTTACAACTGGCCATATCTGGAGAGCCACCCACAGAGATCTACAGGGACAGTGAAGTACAGCACAGACTCGGCTCCTGGCTCTATCTGCACAGAAGATGCTCTTGTATGAGCCTCAAAATTTCCTCATCTATGAAGGCCTCAGAGAGCCACAGGTACCAACATGTGCGGCTTCTGTGGTAGCACTGGACATGCTGAGGAGTGTCTCAGCCTGCCCACTCCACAACCTGGAGGTCAGACTCACATTCAAGACAATGGGTGGGTTGTGTGGCAAGGAAGACTCTCCTGGTATTAGGGACTCTGGGGTTCTGTGGTTCTGGAGTGAGTGTGTGTGTGTGCACGTGTGTGTGTGTATGCGTGTACACACATTAGGAGGAGTATGCAGATATGAGCAGCAGAGGGAAAGTTGGCGTAAGAGCTCACTTCTAGGATGGCTCTTTTTACAGCTCAGTCTCCTCCACGTTACCCTGAAGGCCATAACCAGCTACAGACTCCACAGTTCTCAAATCCTGGACACCATGAGCTACCATAGACTTCAAAGAAACAGAACATTTCTTTGACGTCTCCTGCACGGCACATCTGCTGTTGGACTATCAGAGAAGGCCCAGAACACCTAGCAGTCATGACAAAGTGGAGGTCATAGGATGTGCAGCCAAGATGTTCAAAAACCACACCGTTAAGGAGAAGCATAAAACGAATTTCATAACACCAGATGTAAGTTTTACCCGCTGCATGTGTGTGTGTGTGTGTGTGTGTGTGTGTGTGTGTGTGTCCATCGGACCACAGGTTTCAAAACACAAATGCTTTCAAGGCAAAAAATAAGAAGTTTGATGGCCGTAAGACTCCAGAGTGACTTTAGGCCTTGTCAAACTACACAGTCTAAACTCCCTGCAAAAACACTCATATCCTGGGGCTCAAAGAAGGCAGTTGACCTTTGACATCTGTTCTTCAAAAGGAAAGTGAAAGAATGGGGGAGGGGAGCTGTTGGGAGACATTGTTTATTTGCTGCCTTATAAGTGCTGTATGTTTGGGGTCACATGGTGTGTGAACTGGGGGGCATTCATGATGATTTTTCAGTGAAAGATGAGCTTCGAGGGTCCTGCTTTCTTTCATTTTTTTTTTGTTTATAATGCACAATTTCTTAATTTTATACAGCAAGCTCATAAAGACCTTAGTGCATTTTTGGTTTAAAAAGCCATTATTTTTCTGTCCTAAAAGCCAAAGACAAAGCAATATTTGTATAAGAATGGTTCCCCAGAAAAATAGACACGGCTTGTCTCAGAGTTTCCGTGCCCTGGGTCTGCCATACCAGCCAGCACTGGCCAGCTACAGCCTGCAGAAGGCCTGCTGGAAGGGCAGAGGTTATTCTGACCTCAGAGAAAGTCAGTGGCATCCGAAGGCAGGGTGCAGATGTGCGCTCCATCCTGCACAGTGTGCATTGCATACACAGAGGTCCATGAGCACCCTCACGTCACAGGTCTGTCATTCATTCTCAGCAGGCTCCAGAGTGGCAGAGGACAGGACCCATGCCAACTCTGCCCGGGCCAAGTGGCTAACCGTTTTCTCTCTCCAACCCTGGCTTGGGCACTCTTGCTACAAAATGAAGGTGAAAGTGTTAAGAGACGCAGAGTTCCTAACACGGTGCTGGGTACACGTTGGTGCCCGATGGGGCTTAGAAAGAAGAGGCGCCACAGATTCTGCAGTCCCTGACTCTGGCCAGGAAGAGTTATGTCATCAGAGGCATTCTGGCTGCCTGCAGGGAGCAGAGTCCAGCTACCTTATCAGGCCAACCTCACTCTGCCCTATACAAATCTGGCCTCTGGCTTCTGTCCACCTGGACCGGACTGGTTCCAGGCCATGTCCCCAAGGTTTATCTAGTGGCCCCAGGCTCAGAGGGTCCTCATTGCAGGCCTGGGAAGCAAGGAGGGTGTTCCCACCTTGGAAATAAGAAAACCAGAACTCAGAAAAACTGTGTAACTTCTACTGGGGTATCTACTTTCATTCATTCGATATTTAAATGATATGCTAATGAGAGCCAGGTCTACTGTGCCCCTGTTGCCACTCAGTGCCCAGTGGTTTAAAATACAGTGCCGGATTTAATGTTGCTGCTCTCTTGAATGTCTCAAGTAAAAACTAAAGCATTTTTGATAATTTAATGCAACTTATTTTTTTTTATAGCAGTGTCTTACTATCTAGCTCAGTTTGGCCTCAAACTCACTATCTTGCCCAAGGTGGTCTTGAACTCTCTCTATTCCTCCTCAGCCTCCTGGGTGCTAGGATTACTGATTTGCATTGCCACACCCAGACCTCGTTAATCTTGTTGTAAGAAGCTGTTCGTTCCATTTTGCACCATTCTCTACAAACTAGACAGCTGGTGGCGTTTATAGCTAGGAGGATCATGGAAGAAAACACATACATCCCCATGGGTGAGTGTGGGGAAGAAAATCTGGGCAGACCCGAGAGAAACGAGGCTAATGAAGATGGTGGGAGCCAGGGTGCTTGACCCCATCTAGTACTTTAGGTACCAACGTGCTAAGGAAGTTATTTTATGGATGAAACCTGAGGACTGACTTGGAAAAGATATTTTTTTAAAAAGGTGGAATAAAAATTACAGAAAGAGAGCCCATGAATTTGAGAGGGGGTGTAGGGGATTACAAGAGGAGTCTGGAGGGGGAGAGAGAAGAGGAGTGGATGCAATGAGGGATACAAATATGACTGTTTTATTTAAAGTGAGCATCAGGGCAGGGATGTAGGGCAGGAGGTAGAAAGCCTGCCTAGCGTGGAGAAAGCTCTGGGTTTGAACGCAAGCACCACGCAGCACAGGCAGGGTCATGCGTGCCTGTTCTCCCTGTGGAAGGAAATAGAAAGAGTGGAGTCAGGAGCTCAAGGTCCGCGGCTACCTGGCCGGCATAGACCACCAGAGACCATCCCAGAAACACAACAGAACCCTTGGCTTTCCTTAACTACAAGATGGAGATGAGTTCTGACTTCACACAATGTGTGTGTGTATGTGTGTGGTGTCCTCAAGTCTATGCACTCGTGTGTGTGGTAGCAAAGGGTAACACTATGCGATTGTGATGTGTGAAGGGAAGAGATTAGTACTGAGATGCTCTCTGTTTATATATATTTTATATATTTTATGTATATATATATACACATACATACATACATATGTTTGTGACAGGGTCTCACACTGAACCTGGCCACTGGCCACTTCAGCTAGGCTGGTTAGTCCACAAGCTCCCAGGATTCACCTATCTCTATTCTCCAGCATTTGGGTTACAAACACCTACTGCCAGTCCCAGCTTTTTACATAAATGCTTGAGATCAGAACTCGGGTCCCTCATGCTTACACAGAAAGCCCTTTACCCACCGAACCCTCACCCCAGCCCCAGATGAACATTAATTCATTTATTCATCCCATTTGCTCACTGGTCCTGGTACATTTGGACCTCTAGACAACAATACCACAGGGACGGGCACAGCACCCTGTGCCCTTGACACAAGTCCCAGCCAGGAGATGGAGGTTAACACCGGATGACATGGGCAATTATTTATCTGTTCCTGGGATTTGAGGGTTGGAAGGCACATGGAGTCCTAAGGGAGCACATGCTGAACCAGACCAGACTGAACCAGGAAACAGAGTTCTCAGCCACTCTGGGAATAGGAGCAGAGAAGGCCGTGGCCTGAGTGAGACCTGTCAGAGTCTCTGGGGCAGAGCAGGGTCATCTGCAGACACCGGCACAGCAGGGAGCCCCAATCCCAGCTGAGTTCCCCAGGCGTCCTGCCAGCTGCCCAGCTATGCCCTGGTCTCAGAGGCAGAGGGAGAAGCTGGCCCAAGGCAGGAAAGGGCCAATGAGAAATAAAAATAATAATTTTTTATTAGTATTAAAGGCAGGCAGCTTTCAGAGGACAAGAGGGAAGCAAGCAAGCTAGGCTTCCTGACCAGCTGTGTGTGTCCAGTCCTTCCATGGACTCTGTCGGGTCACCATCAGGGCCCTCAAAGGCAAGTGCACCCTCCTTATAGTAGACTGAACTAAAACTCAGACAAGTTAAACAATCTCCCAAGGTCACATGTGAGGTTGAACTCAGGCTCCTAACTCCCAGGATAAACTCTACTCCCTTCCCTCAATCCATCTGATTTAAAATTGACCCAAAATCTTACCAACCAAAAAAGTAAATAAATAGAAATAAAAAAATAGATGTGTATACACACACACACACACACACACACACACACACACACACACACACATCCTGTCTCCTACCAGAAACCTTAAGTCTCTCCTGATCACAGTAGGGTTGCCTTTCTGAACTTAAAAGTTGATCTTTTTATCCCCTTCCCATTGGCTGTTAGGAGGCTCATAGTTAATTCCTGGCCCACCTCAATACAGACTTCATGTCAGCATGGTACTTTCAGCCTTACTTACAGACCTCTGATTTTTGCTTTTATTTCCATTTTTTTTTGTCAGAGGTTTCTTTTGTTTTTTTTTCTTGTTTCTTAATCATTTATGGGATGATCCGACTCATCCTATCCATATCTGCCTTCACCCAGTCTTCTGAAACCTCTGAAACATCCTCCACGTAGCTACTCCATCTTTTCTCCGGCTCCTCACTCTCAAAGTCTAAGTGAAGTTTCCCTGGTTCTCCATCCCACCGCAATCTTGCCTTCTCTGTAGAATACAAACCCAAATCTCTCAGAAAACCTATGGCTGATCCCCTTCATCTAAGCAGCCGCGTGATGGGCTGGGTCATCACGTATCAGAAACGTGACAGCAGATTGCAGCAGGACAGGGTACTGCCAAACCCTGCACTGAATTCAAGGCCCCCGAGAATCATGCATGGCCTCCCCTTTCTAGTCCTAAACCTGCTTTCTTATAGAACCCAGGACCACCTGCCCATGGGTGGCCCCACCCACATTGGGCTGGGTCTCCCCACATCAATCACTAATTAAGAAAACACCCTACAGGCTTGCCTACAGCCTGATCTTAGGGAGGCATTTTCTCAGCTGAGGCTTCCTCTTCTCCAGTGACTCTTGAGTCAAGCCGATAAAACTATCAGCTAGCACAACTGACCGCTTATCAGCTCGACAAACAAACACATCGCTATTAATCCACAACCTTCCCTTTCTTATTCATCCCCAAGATCTCACATTAAAAACATAACTTTAAAAGTCCTACAACCTTTACAAATTCAAGCACATTAAAGATTCAGGCTCTTGAAAACATCCCATCTCTTTAAAGACCCAAAATATCTTTTAGAAGTTCAAAAATCTCTCGACTGTGAGTTCCTGTTTAAAAAAAAAAAAAAATCAAGTTGAATAGTTTTTCTACTTCAAGAGGAAAGAACTCAGGTGCTGTCACAGTCATTAAAAAAGCAAAACCAAACTCCAGTGTCTGGAGTCCAATATCTGGGACTCCCTCATGATCTTCTGGGATCCTCCAAAGTTCTTGGGTCATTTATCTGGCTCTGCCCTCCGCAGCACACATAGCTTGTCTCCTGGGCCCAGGCCAGCTCCATTCCACATCAGCCGTTGTCCTTGGTAGTCATTCCCAAAATTCTGGGGTCTCTTGCTGCAATCGGGCTGCCCTTTGCTCTCTTCAGGGACTCCAACCCTGCCACACAGTGCTAAGCCTCAGCTGCCCTCCATGCCTTCAAAACCAGCATCACCTAGGTGACTCTTCACCAAGTTCCCCTGCCAGAATGGGGTACAATCCTAGTGGCCTCTGGAACATAGCTGGCCTGCGATGAGTCTGAGGAAACACTTTCCAGAAGATCTCTCCTCAGTGATGCTGGTCTCCCCTTCATCACCACTAACGTCTCGGTTCCAGCTGGCTAGCCATCATCCATTGGTCCAGGAAAACGAAGGTTTCACATTAGTGGTTCTGGTATCTTATTAGTCATAGCTGATTCTTCAGACCTAGTTAACCAGAACTACAGATTTTTAACTCAAAATGTCTAATGGCCCTGATAGTGTAATTCAGGGACTGTCAAACTTTCCTCTGAAACTTTACAAGCCAGGCCTCCAGTGACTGCCCTGTTCTCAACATTTTTATCTTCCAAGCTCCCACGAACCAACTCAGCAAGCTTTGAACACTCAATGGCTTTTCTCACACAAAGTTTTCAAAGTTCTTCGACAATCCTCCCCAACACACATGGTTAGGTCTATCACAGCAATACCTCACTACCCTGGAATCAATTTCTGTTCTACTTAGGGTTTCTAAGGCTGTGATGAAATTCCACAATCCAGAGCAACCTGAGGAGGAAAGACTTTATTTGGCTTACATATCCAGAGGCACAGTCCACTGAGGGACGCCAAGGCAGGGACTCAAACGGGGCAGGAACCTGGAGGCGGGAACTGATGCCAAGGCCACGACGGAGTCCTTGGTTCCCATGACTTGCTGAACCTACTTTCTTATAGAACCCAGGACCACCTACTCACAGGTGGCCCCACCCACAATGAGCTGGGTCCTCTCACATCGATCACCACTTAAGAAAATGTGCCACAGGCTTGCTTACGGCTCAGTCTCATGGAGCTATTTTCTCAGTTTAGGCTTTCTCTTCTCCAGTGACTCTAGCTTGTGTCAGGTTGGCATAAAACTAGGCAGCAGACACATGCCCACTTCCCTCTTGGTTTCCGAGGTCAGAGAAGAAGGTTACCATGAATCGTAATTCCACACAACCCACCTTCCAGCCGACTGCCATCATCACTAAGAGCATTGTTTTCTATAGGTTTTGCACAAATGCGCATAGTCTCTGTGAGTTGGTGTGCACATGCACACACGGGTACACAGTCTCCATGAGCAGATAAATATGCACACATGTGCATCCACACAGCAACTCACAGAAACACAAACACCCAAAACAAGCTACGTTGTCATCAAGTTAGGGACCCCAGCCTGAGATCTAAGAACCCTGGTGTTCTCTCAAAAATGTGATTCCCAAGGTGGAAGGCAAGTTTGCGTCAAGGCCAAGCGGGTGTCCCTCCTTGAGAAAATGCTGGCAAGGCCTCAGTCTAGGTCCTGGTTTGAGCATCTGGACAAAGTCCGTGGGGGTGAGCACATTCACTCTCAGGGCTGGACCGCCTGGCTCTTCCTGTGCTCTGTGTCTGTATTCACTCCTCCAGCACTCCTGCTGGGGTGTGCACATTGCCTTCCACGCTTTTCCTTCACAATCCAATTCAGAGCTATTGGAACCCAAGATCTCAGCCAGAGGAAAACCAGTTAGACCTGCTGGACGGTCTCTGCAGCTGCTTCCAGCAGTGTTTCCCTACGCTTGCTCCTCCAGCAGGGCTGGCTCTGGACAGTGTAAGAGAGAGGAGATGGCTTGGATGATGCAAGAATTTCCGTGGCTGTGCCAGCCATCACCGCAGCAACCACCAGAAGACTGCATCTGCCATCTCATCCCAACCCCTTGCTTGCATGCACCCACACCAGGTATTTCTAAAAAGCTGTGGCTCCAAATATCCTCCCGAAACCAGATGTGGGCAAGATGTTCCCCATTTGCCTAAGAGGCAACTGAAGTTCAAAGAGGTGGCATGACCTGCCCAGGTCCCTACAGCCAGCAAGCAGAGGGGCTAGAATAAGGCTGGCCTGCCTTACCTGTTTCCACCAGACGAGTTTCTCCAAGGTCCTGTTATGGCCCAGAATAAGGAAGAAGGGAAGATGTTCTCCTTCTAGACCGCTTGCTTGGGACAGTGACCTCGAAAGTCAAGAAATATGGATGTTAGGGAACTTTGTAGATTTAAAAAAAAAAATGCTTACGCTAAAGTATGGAAGTCAGAGGCACTCAGAGTCAGGTTTCAGTCCGCCCAGAGCATCAGATGAGGAGCTGAAGAATAGAGACCCGGGACTGCAGAGTCTTGAAGGCTAGCGTACACAAAGCTCTAAAAGCAATGGGAGCCATAGATGGTTTCGGAGCACAACTATCTGCTAATATGTCAATAAATATTTTAAAGCAGTGTCCTCTAGGTACATGCATTTTAAGAAGAGTATGCACAGTGGCCTGAAGGGGGCGCTCTTCTCAAAGTCTGGCCTCATTGATGATAACCTCTAAACATTTTCCAGCTGACTACAAAGTCGCCCATCATCCAACCCTTGGCCTTAAAAGGAATTGGAGTTGAAGATACAGACCCCAGACTCAGTCTGCCAAGGTTTGAACACTGTCACTGCTAACTGGCTGTCCGTTTTGAGGAAAATTGCTTAACCTCTCTGTGATTCTATTTCCTCATCCAGAACATGGGGATAGCATCTTCCCAGCCCTTAGAGTTATTGGGAGGGTTGTGTGAGCGGCTGGAGAGTCACAAACCATTTGACAGTACCAGGCACGTGGAAGGCGTTTGGTAGATCCAGACCTTTGCGTTCACAAAGACTAGAATAGGATAAGTCTTATACAGTGGGTTCCTCATGATCCTTTTCTAGGTTCCATTAGTAGTTACCAATGTTGCCAGGTGGTGGTGGTGCTCGCCTTTAATCCCAGCACTCGGAAAGCAGAGGCAGGTGGGTCTCTGAGTTGGAGGCCAGCCTGGTCTACAGAGTGAGTTCCAGGAGAGCCAGGGCTACACAGAGAAACCTTGCCTCAAAAAAAAAAGGAAAAGAAAAGGAAAGAAAGAAAAAAAGAAAGAAAAGAAAAAGAAAAAGAAGGAAAGAAAAGAAAAAGTTATAACTTATCAATTATCAATGTCTTTACTGCCTACACTATCCTTTTAATAATATAAGTGGAACTTTTACATATATGTGCCCATAACCCACAGAATAAACTATTACATATCAATAATTGTAGCAGCTTGGACCCAATGATTCTACTTTCTGACTAAGAGTAAGCCTGAAAAGACCAGATTCAAAGGTGAAGGTCCCCTGCCTGAGTCACAGCATAGTGTGCAGCATGGGCTCCTGGTAGAAAGAGGTTCTGCAAGTCAACAGAGTCACCAAGGAGATGGGACAGAAAGAAAGACTGGAAGGGGCTACCAGGGAGAACCCCCTACTTTCTGAAAGCTGGAACCTTGGTAAACTCCCCTTCTTTGTGCAAGCAAAGATGGTAGTGACCCCTGGAGACACAGTAGGCCCTCCTTCTTAGAGACTAGAAGCCCAAAAAAAAAAAACTTTTTTAAATGTGTGGCACCTAGGATTCATAGGATTCAAACAACATATAACTTTGTACTATAGGAATCTATAATCGTCAAGATCATGACCTTGAAGGACACAAAAATTTTGGACAGGCCGAAAGGAATCATCTGAGAGTACAAGCAGCTGGGTGCTGGGGGAGGGGGCTCTCCACCTAGCCTCTGTCCTTTGACATCTCCAAATGTCATTAGAATCTGTGCTTAGCATCTGAGAGTAAAATTTGGAGCACAGCTTCCCACTAGAGTAAGATCAGATCAATCACTTGCTGAGTTTATAAACAAGCAAGTGATGGGCTCCGGAGTAAGTTTTTGAAAGACGCCACACAGTCTCAGAGGGATGGGTCGAACCCACAAGATGAGTTATAAAACCCTTGTGAACTGGCCAGCAGAACAAGGACCTTCCAGAATGGTGTACCTGAGAGATTTGTCCCAAAGAAATCAGCTTGTCCTTGAGACCTGGGGTAATAACGACCTGCCGACATTCACATGGCCCTGTGGCAGGTCCTAGAGAGACATTCTCTCCAGCTCTGCTGGCAGACTAGAGTCCCCGGACTATTCATCCAGCTGTGAAGTAGACATAGCAAACTTACATCTGATTCCTTCCCATAAATGAGAAAAAGCAAATACTTACAGAAACGCGGGGTCTGAAAACCTTCAGAGCTTGAACTCCCACAGACATCCACGTCCACCTGTCCTCACTGATCTCCAGTCCTATTGGACAGCGGAAATGTCCTTCTTCAAGTACGCCCCGCCCCTTCACCCAGGTTCTGCTTTCTGAGAACATCCTCCTTGACTGTGGAAACAGAAGGCAAAGCTGTGAAAGGCTTTTTCCTTCTCCCCTGCCCCACCCTTCGGAGAACACTGAAGACTCTTTTCTGGGGTTTACATCAGAGTGTGGGGAACACAGAGCTGCTCCCCCAAACCAGCAACTGCTTAAAACAGGAGGGTTTTAAGCCTTCAGCTTGTGTCCCCTTCTTAGGAGAAATACCATCGCGAGTCTTAAATTCAGACATATTTTTTTTCCCCTCTGAAGAGAATTAGTCTCAGATGCTTTCTTCTCAGCTCAGGAAGAAATGGGGAACAGTTTATTTGGGGAGGTTTTTTTTCATGAGTCTAGAGCTGGGGAAAGGATAAGTTGAAGGAGGGAAAAAGACAGAAGACCCCCAAGATGCAGCTCAAAACCCCTTCTGTGGTCACCCTGTGCCCTCAAATATCAGAGGCCCCTTCCTTTCTCCACACAGAAACTAGAATATGTCCCAAAGTACAACCTCTGATGGTGAATGAGATTTTGGAGAATGATACACAGATGTATTATTTAAGAAATTTTAGTGTCATATATTCTTTTAGAATTCTAGAAAACACAGAAAAAGAACATTGATAGATAACAGACAATCGACGATAATGGAGATAGATGATAGACAGAAAGACAGACTGGAGGGTTGGGAGAAGACTCCGATAATAAAGTGCTTGTTACAAAGTATCAGGACCTGAGTTGGCTCTCCAGTGGCCACACAGAAGCTGAACACAGAGGCGTGCCTCTTTGATTGCAGGGCTGGGAAGACTGAAACAATCAGACGTGGTCCCCAGGCTTGCTGGCCAGCCCCTCTAGCCTAACTAATGAGCTCCATGTTCAAGGAGAGACTCTGCTTTAAACAATAGGATGGGCAGCAATCTGGAAAGACAGTTGCTGTTGACCTCTGGGCCACCACACACACATGCACTGCACACACACATACACACACACATATACACAAATGCACTCCCACATATGCACATTCACACACATGCACAACACTCGTGAACACATACACATACACTACACTCAGAAAAATTCAGATTCTCAGTTGCCTGAGTCATATTCAAAGTCTCAACCACCACCTGTAGCTTAATAGACGGCACAAACATAGAAAAACTTTCTGTTACCATGGAAACATCCATGGGGTGGCGCTAGCCCAGAGTGTTCATCTACCCATTTGACTTGAATAACTTCTTTTCGGACCTCAGGTCTCTAGCCATGCACCAACTCCAGGAAGCCCTCCTTGACTGCTCTTTCTCTGCCTTTTCTCTGCTGTGTGGATGCCTTCAAGGGTCAGGCTCAAGCTGCTCCGTTGCATGTGGGCATTCCTTGTGCTGCCCGAAGGGCACCTCTGTTCTCCTATCAGACAGGAAACAGAGAGGCAGGGACGCTTGATGCTTTCGCTCATTGCTTTATCTAATCCTAGAATAGTGTCTAGCATGCAGATGATCAGCTTCAGGAGACAAAACCAAGCATAGAATTTGCACTGAACACAGTCGCAGCAGCTTGGGATCCTGAGATCGAGTAAACCTTAAGAATACAAAACTGGTGGATGAAAGCCACTCTTGAATCTGGAACACACACCCACCACCACCACCACAGACACACACGCACGCACGCACGCACGCACGCACGCATGCACTCATGCATGCACGCACACACACTGTATCAAATCTGGCTTCTACCAGGACCGTACCTCCTCAATCAGCTCGAGATGCTGTCCCTCCACTGAGCAGCAGAGTCTCACATAGTCACAAAATGCCTCTCCAGTCTGCATCCCTGAATGCAGCAGGCAGCAACAGCAACAGCAGGAACAGCAGCAACAGCAGCAGCAGCAGGACTAAGCTGCTTCACTTGACTCTTGAAGCAGTGTCCCTAGGAGTGGGGTGACCACAACATATTTGATGGACACCTGGCGAGGCACTGGGATGACCATGGGGAAAACCGGTCCTCAAAGATGGCTCTTTCTGACCCCCTCACCTACACTGAATTGAATGTCGTTGATGAGAAATTTGTAGAGAGATTATAAGGCTTGGTAACAAAAATTAAATTTCATCACTTGACAGGTATGGATTTCTGTTCTAGACCCTTTCCTGGGGACTCTTATCAAGGGATGACCACAGGGCCTTGTCCCCGTCACCTCTGACCCTTGGCTACAGCAGCTCCAACATGTATGTGTCGCCTTTGCAGAGAACAGCCTGGATCTGACAGGTAGCACACAGCAGCCCGTGTGATTTACAGGGGCTCAAGACGAGAGGTTTCGTCTCCCACTTTGAGAGCTTGAGTGCTTCCTATAAATATTTATGGGAGTCTGGGGCCTCCATTAACCCCACTGGTGCTGCATTTCCCTTGTTACATGACGCCTGTGTGTGAATGAGCATGAAGGCTAGTGTTCACTTACACACACACATGCACACACACACACACACAGGTGTGAGTATGTGTGAGTCTCTGAGGGTACACAGGAGCCCAATACATTCTACAAGAGCCTGTGTGCATGTGTAACCAATAATGCTTAGATATGATTATAGAGGCATACGTCTGTGTGCATAATTGTACACATCATGCACACTATAACTGCATGAACGTGAGTATTTAGACACGTATGCGTCTAACATGGATACATGCATTTGGGTACATGTATAACGAGTTAGACATACAAGTGAATATGATAGCATATATATATATATATCAGATGAATACATGCAAATTCTGCCTCTGCATATGTAAATATGAGTGTGTGTGTTTGTGTGTGTGTGTGTGTGTGCATTCATTAGGGGACCAGCCCTAAGAGCAGAAACATATCTATGTTAGATCCAAAGCGTCACTTATTGCACACAAAACAACCTTTCCCAATCGCCTCACCTAGAGGCTGCTTCTGCTAGGAACGCTTGCTCCGTCATTAGGATCCGTTTATTGAAAAGTTCAGTCAGGAGCAAATGAGGAGTGAGAGAACTGTTTGTTAATTTTACATAGCTCCGATGTTCCAGGACAAGGATGCCGCTTCTACACTCACAGCTTCTGCACCATTATTCACTGTCCGAGAGCAGAGTGAGTGACAGCTGCTGTCCCCACTGACACCCTTGTCTTCAAGGTGCTGTCCTGTGTCAACCGTCCACATCTTCACCTGGGCAGGAAGCCTTGTGATTGGAAAACATGAAGTATCCAGCTAGAAAAATCAAGAACCACGCTGTGCAGAGGCTTAGGGGCAAAACCAACCCCAAAGGGGGCTCTTTCTGACCTCACCTATGGAGGGTTCAGTGCCATTGATGAGAAATTTATATGAGGATTTATAAGGTTTATGACAAAACAATAAATTTCATCACTAGGTAGGTATGGCTTTCGGTTCTAGACTCTTCCCCTAGTGACTACAGGGCCTTGTCCCCTCCTCCACCTCTGGCCCTTGGATAACACCAGCTTATGCTACCAAGTTACGTGAAATGTCCTGAGACTAAACCAAGGGTTGGACCACATCTCTGTGACCTACCTGTCCCACATCCATTGAAAGAATCCCATGTACCAGATTCTTCAGATGCCCAGGAAACAAAAGATGTCGGGGGCAGGCCTCACCCCATGTTAGGAAATACAGCCCTGTCCCACTCACTGTGAGCAGACAAAGCTGACTCCAGGGCAGCATGCTCCTATGTCCCTTCTGGGTAGAACTCAATGGCAGAATTGTAACTGGCAGAGTCAGGGAAGTGAGGGCAACAGACCAGAAGAAACAAGGGAACCCGAGTGAGAGCCAAACACAGCCTGGGCTGGAGGATCTGATACAACCATAAAGCCAGGAGTGATGCCCAGCCCTCAAGAAGACTATTCAAACAGGGCCCCTCAAGTACCCATTCCTATACATTCACACAAGGAAGTCTCAGCACAGGTAAAATACACAATGCTCCAAAATGAAAGTGCCACAACATAGATGTATGGACTTTATCGGCTTTCCCATGTCAGAAATAGTTTGTTTCTCACAGAGAGTTCCAGGCAGGCCTTCCCCCACCACCTCTGCAGCTGCCCTCTCCAATCCGAAGACAGCATCCATTTTTTTTAAATAAAAACATAAAATAAAATAAAACAGAATATATAATGAATAGCTGCTGTTTTACTTAAAAGTAGCTTCACTCGCAAAGAACGCCAAGAGGCTGCTGCAACCGAATTCTGCTTCAGAACAAATCCTTATTATTAATTTAGGTGGTTTTTCGTGTTGGAGCTGCAACTTTTCTCACATATTTAATTTCTTCCAAGTGAGAACAGCCAGCTCTGATATTATCTAAATGTACCGGTTAAGATAACGTGTGTAGGACAATGGAAAAGGGAATTTAAAACTGAGAGGCATGGAAATGTGTACCAGTCAAATGAAGGTGTGTGGATGGATAGGAGAAGCTACATAGGATGCTGAGGAACTGATGGGGGTGCTTGGTGAATGCATACCCCCCAAAAGAAGTGCTTCCTGCCCAAGAACTATGGGAAAGAGGAGATTCCACCAGCAGCCTTCTCACAAAAGAAAAACCCTATCTTCTGAGTCAAAAGAGCCCCAGCCTTCAAAGGCAAGCCCAGAGGTGTCTGTTCTTCATGCTCAGATGACACCCGACCCACAGGACCAACCCCGCACTCTATCTGAATTGTCCTCCTATGATGCAGTGTTGGGCACCAGCCCAGTCCAGCTATTCCTATTCCCGTGGAACTGACTCTCCGAGGGGCTGGAGAAATGCTGCCTCCAAGGATATGCGATGGAAGAATTTTATTTTGGTCCGAGGGGGAAGAGTTCCTTTCATTACAAATCTAAACACCAGAGCCTTCTGACTGCAGATGGTGAAAGGGACAGATACTCAATAAGGGATCCAGAGTATTCCTTTGGGGAAATCAAAGGGCCCAGAAGACAATGGAGCTTTGCATCTGAAAGCACATAAGAGAATCTTCCAGAGTTTCCTGGCTCCCTCCAGACCAGGGGTAAACCGAAGGCGGGGTTGGGAGGAGGGTTGACCTGTGACTGAGTGAGGCCTTTGGCCCTCCTGGCAGAAACGGAGCCTCCAGGTCATGGAGTGGTCAGCCTAGTGCTGTGTATGGTGTGGCTCTTGACAGCTTCCACTGTGAGTTTTGGTGCAGAGTACCCCGAACAGCACAAAAGGAAAATGGGAACCTCCAACTGGCAAGGGCAGGGAGCTGTAAAGCCCAGAGGCAAGTGACAAAGACTTCCTATGACTGCATCTGTGACTAGCTTCAGCCTCCCTAGAGATCTGAACAGAGTGTCGGCCTGCAGGCCCCAGCCAGCCACAGCGAGGGCCACTGGAAAGGAATGAAACTAGAGAGTGGGCAGATTGAAGACCAGACCCTAAAACAGCGCAGGTGCAGAACGCTAAGTGGTGACTCCCAGACTGGAGGCCCGCCTGGCCATCCCTCATTCCTCCTGCCTGGCTAGCTCTGGGTAGACTTTTCAGGCTGCCCTGGAATAGAGGGCAGGGGAGTACAGAAAATGGAAGATTAGGTAGGAAAGGCTAAAGAAATGGAAAATGGGGTCGGGGGAGGGGGCTAGGGAGGGAGAGAGGGACAGAAAGAAAGGGGAGGGAGGAAGAGAGAGAAGAGGGGAGACAGAGACGCACGCATGTACAGAGAAACAGAGGTTTAGAGAAAGTAAACCGATTTGTTTGAACCTCGGGCACCTGAATGCCTCTCCGCCGAACTGAAGGAGGTGACAGCAGCGACTGCCCCAGGTTCTTAAAGCCGGTGAGATACAGCCGGGAAGAAGAAACGCGACTGCGCCTAGCCCCTAGCCGTTTGAAGGTCAGCGGCTGCCCCAGCAAAGAAGGCAACCAGAGATGGAGCCCCATTCTCAGAGCCTACGAATGCCCACTGAGTGCTTCCCGGTGTTGGTGTCTGTGCGTTTTTGTCTCCGGGTGCGTCTCTGTCTGCAGGCGCCAGCTTGTCTACGTGGGATCAGTGGAAGCCTAGAAGATTTTGGTGCAGGGAGAACTTTTCTTTCAGTGGGTGGTGGGGAGTGTAGGATCCCGAGCTGCCCTCTAGCAGTAGGGAGAAATAGAAACCGAAAAGAAGGATAAAGATTGCCGAGTACCGCCGCCAGACGCACCTTGGAGGTCCTGGGTATCCACGTCCTATTTCCCCGGCTTGCGGCATCCTGGCCGGTACGAATTGCTGGCGGCTGCAAGTAGAGGGGCTTGCCTGCTATAGAAACCCGCTCTCAAGAGCATTCCACAAGACCTGGCCCACTCCAAAGAGCTGCCGGCTCTACCCAGCTTCCCCCACTCCCGTTTGCGGCCTGGGGCGAGTTAGTATTCAATGGGTGATTTGGGAGCAGGCACTAAATAAAGTGCCGCCAGGGTCATCCGTGTGAGTGCAGGGTGTGGGTGCCCTGGTGTGTCAACGTGTCACTAGGGTTGTGCCTAGAATCTCCTCTCCAAACTCAGTTGGCAACTCTAAAAGGGTGGCACTTCTTGTCCTTTCTGGATGCACAATGATGGTGACCTCACTGGGTGTGTCTAAGTGTCTCTATCCAGAATAAAGACAATTCCTTGGAATTTACAGCCTTTCCTAAAATCCAGGCAATGCCGGAAGTGGACAACGCTAGTCTGTTCGGAATGGTTCTAGACAGGATCAGACCACCAAATTTAAAGCCTCTGCCACCAGAAGTCTCTGTTCCACTGTGAGGACCTGCACAGTGGAGTCTCCTCAGATGCTCCCCTAAGAGAGGCCTGTTTCCTTAAAGGTGGCATATCTGTACCTGTAGTGGCACTTGCATGTGGAATTACAAATGGATCACTCCCACCTACACGTGGGAGAACCGGGCTCAGCTGCCTTTTTCCAAATGGAGGCCAAAGCCTTGCTTGCCAAACCTTGTCTCCACTGGGAAAATTGAATGGGTTTGGGAAATCACTTTGAGCTGAAGTCACACCACCGACGCACTACAGGTGTGGATCGTGGTTAGTATTATTTTGCTCTGTTTTTTGCTGTTGTCGCTGTTGTTTGTCTAGGTCCCCAAACTTCTTCCTGAGATGCCAATCACAAGCCCAAGCTCCTGGGATTCTGGCCAAAATGTGTTCCCTTGAAGTTTCACTCTCCCTTTCTTTTCCAAGGCGACCCCCTACTCAGATCCCTGCCAGGGCTTCCCTGCTTGGGTCTGTAACTTCCCCATCTGGATCCTGAAATTCCGTGTTAGGAACTCTAATGCCAAGGATTTCAAGGCATAGTAGAGTCTGCGTGGAAGCAGGGAGTTCCACAGAGAGTTAGCCTCTACCAAAAGAGGAGAGCTTCTCTAAGGTCCGGGTGGTCTGCCCCAATGCCAGAGAGAGAGGCTGGTCTAAAGGTAATCTAAATCACAGACAAGATTCCAAGGAGGCCACCAGGAGAGTGGGCCACAAGGTAGGTACTGACCTTCATAGGACCAGGGAAAGGGAAGTGGCCTAGGGCCACTTCCATGTCAGGAATCTCCAGGCTAATATCATAGCTGCTAAGCCAGCCTAAACCCTTTCAGCCTCCAACTTGAGGACATACTGACATCCAAGCTCCTCTACACAGTGTCTTTTTTGAGGGCTGTTGGCCCTGTACACCCTGAACATACTAACCTGGGAAGAAATTCCAAGGAGGAGCTTCCTACCAAGAAGGTCCTGCACCCCAAGATCTAGTGTCAGGTGTCACCCGCTTCCATCAACCTTGGAGAAAGGAGAGCAAGCCTTCCTTTAGAGCCAGCAGACTAGTTCTAAGCTGCCTGGTGCCTTGAAGGAAGTTGAGACCCAGGCAGGAAGGCAAGGACTGCAACTTAACTGGCCCTGGACTCAAAAAAAAAAAAAAAAAAAAAAAAAACAAACAAAAAAAAACTAATGTCCTCTTGGCTTCCTGGCTTCTGTGGTTTACTACCCCTGCTGCAGGCCAGCAGGTAACCCAGTCCTGACCCTGATTGCCAAGCCTGAAAGCACTGGAAGGTGTCTTTCTCAGATAAGCCCTCTCTCAGCATACAGATGCCCTCTCGACTTGGGTCTGAACCTGGGTGGAAAGCAGAGGACACATTTGAGGCTCACATATAGCACACACTGGAGAGAACTGATCTGCCCGCCCTTGCTTGGGGTCCATTGCTAACAAATGCCCCAAACTTGATATTCAAGAGAAGAAGTTCTTGAAGAAACAAGAGTATTAAAGTCATGCAAACACAGAGTCCTCTAAATAAACACCATTTCAATGGTTTTAATAAGCAAAATAGGAAACCATTTTAATAACCAAAAAACAGAAACCAGTCTGAATTAAAACTACAATAAGACTAGATTTTAATATTTTCATATCATAAGCAGGGGGTTGAAATTGATCCCTTATTTTACATGAAATTAAAAACAATTTCTGTTGCGTTGCTGCAAGTTTGATTTCAACACAGTTGAATCAGTAAAAACCAAAGCTCGTTTCCGATGCAGGACGAATATCCACAATATTTAAAACTGCAAGCACCATGCGGTTCATACAATCTTGTTATTACTGTAAATTTATCAACTAATACAAACTCAAAAACAAACAAAAAAGCATCCAGCCAGCAGCGCCAGCAAATTCAGATGGGAACTTAAAAAAAAAGTACGCTTTCATTTTGGTATTTTTGTCAGTGCAACTTAAATCCTTTTACTGACCCGCAGAAATGAAAGTAACAACAAAGAAAAACACCCAGACCTCCCCTCTAACTACTGTACAACCGACGGGAGTGGGGACACCACCAATAACTCACCCGCTATCCCGACAGCAAGGAGACACATAATGCATTGGTCTAAAGAACGCACTTGGAAGTTGCAGCATTACCTGCCAATGTGTGGGTTTCTGGTACATTCTGAGAATGGCATTTGATTCGATGGGAGCTCAGGTCACCACTGACAAGTTGCAAGAAGTGTGGGGGGGAAATCCTTTCACCCTAAACCATGACGTGGGAGGGGGGCTTGCAATTAGCACCTTCCTGGAGGGATTCCAAGCCAGCCCAGGGTTGACTCCTAGGGATGAAAAGTCAAGGAGCCGGTCTCTTTTCTTTTTCTTCTTGAGGGGCAGGGGGTGGTCAATTTGGCCAGAGGACCGGGTTGAGGACATGCTCCTGCACCCAAGGTGTGGATGTCCACGGTTATCTCCCTCCCTCACAATCTCTTCCTCAACACCAAAGAAACTGAAAACTAAAATGGGAAGGAAAAGGGGACCAAATATACAAATTCCAAAGGTTCCCCACGACAAAGTTGGTTGTCTTTCTTTCTTTTATTTTTACTTACAAACAAAAATGCCATAATAATAAACCCAAACAAAGACTCAGCTTGCTGCTACGTTCTCAGTGTGGTTTGGCCGGGCGGGTAATTTACAAGCCGGCCGGCGACTGAAACTCCGCTCTCTCACAGCCGCAGCCGCAGGAGTTTTGGAACTGCATCCCTACTCACTCAAAGAAACAAGGGGGCTATGATCCATGATCAACAACATGCTAAAGTTAAACAAGAAAATGGTACAAAATAGAAATTATTACCATACATGTCCAGCATGCAGGATTAATATTTTTAATGCAGATTTTCGTATTTTTCTATATAATCGAGCAGGCAATAAAACTGATGAGATTTTTTTTTTCTTCGCGCGCCGAATGTCCTAACTGAGGCCCGCGTCTCCGGCTGAGAGCCAGTGTTCTCCGGACTCTGGACAGACAGATCTGTCTGTTCTTCCTTCCTCAGCCTTGCCTCTCGCCCTCGGGGACTCCAGAGTCCCTCTCCTCTCCTCTGCTCTTCCTGGGGCGACCTGAGCTCTGGGCTGCGAACCGGTCGCCCTGGCACTCACAAAGTTCCCAGAGCCAGAAGTGTCCAGACGGCCTTGGCGACTCCTTGGAAAATGCCTCCCGGCCTTCCAGCCTGGAGAAAAAGTTACTCCGGGACCTCCCACCCGCCCGGGTCCCTCTGACTTTGCCCAAGTCTGGCAGGCTGCTCTGGCTTGCGCCGCTCTCTTCCGAGCCAAGGTGCCCTACCCACCCGTGCTCCCGCCCGTCACCCGTGGCCCGCGCGTCCTTCCTCCCTCTCTCTCTCTCGAGTCAAACAGGTCAAGGCCGGGGCCATGGCAGGGACAGGGAGTCCAGGGTTAGGGACACAGGACAGGGAGTCTGGGCCAGGGCAAGGGCGGGGGCCGGGACCCGCCACGACTCACAGAAAGAACTCGGGAGAGGAGGGGCTGTCGCTGGTGGAGCCCGCCTCCCTGAAGCCGGAGTTGGCGAGTTTCTCGCACTTGACCTTGTAGGCGTCTCTCTCTCGGGCCAGCCGGGACACCTCCTGCTTAAGCTGCTCCACCTGCTGAATGAGCTGCGTCTTCTCGTTCTCCAGGTGATGTTTCTGCTGGACGCGCTTATACCTGCACGACTGGGCGTAGCCCCGGTTCTTCAGGGTCCGCCGTTTCTGCTTCAGGCGAATCACCTCGTCCTTGGTGAAGCCCCGCAGGTGGCGGTTCAGCTCACGCACCGACATGGACACCAGCTGGTCGTCTGAGAACCGGTCCTCCACGCTCCCGTTGCCACCCGCAGCCGTGGCTGCAGCCGCTGCGTGCGGTCCCGGCCCCGGGTGGCTGGTGGGCAGCTGTTGCGCCGGACTGGCCGCGCTGGACGGCGGCGGCGACGCTTGGTGATGGTGGTGATGGTGCGGGTGAGCGTGCGGGCCCAGCTCATCGTGAGTCACACCGGCTCCTGGGTACCCGTGGTGAGGGTGAGGGTGGTGGTGGTGGTGATGGTGGTGCGCACTACGGAAGCTATCGAAGCTCTGTAGCGGCTGGGGCACTGGGTGGGAACCGATGAGTGCCTCCACGGCGTCCTCGGGAGTCAAGTTGAGCGCCTCGGGGTTCATCTGCTGGTAGTTGCTCGCCATCCAGTAGAGGTCCTCGAGATGGGTCTTCTGTTCGGTCGGACTGAAGCTGGGCGAAGAAGGCACCGAGCTGCACGGTGTGCTGAGCGGGGTGGACGACACCGAGCCGGCTGGCTGCAGGCGTGTGCAGGGCCGGCCGGGACGCTCCGCACGCCCCAGCGGCTCCTTTTTCACGTCGAACTTGAGAAGGTCGAAGTCGTTGACGTACTCCATAGCCAGCGGGCTGGTGGGCAGCTCTGGCCCCATGCTCAGCTCCGCGGCCATCGCTAAAGCGAGGCTCAGCCGCCGCTGCCGCGGGGGAAACTTTGCGGCCGGCCGGGACGCGCCGAGCCAAACGCGGGGGCGAAGAGCGGCA